ATGATCACGCCACTACACTCCAGACTGGGTGACAAGACCCTGTCTCTTAAAAAACAAAAAAAAATTACAAAAGAAGGTAAGGTGGCCAGGCACAGTGGCTCATGCCTGTAATCCCAGCACTTTGGGAGGCTGAGGCAGGCAGATTGCTTAACTTCAGCAATTCAAGACCAGCGTGGGCAAGATGGTGAGTCCCCATCTCTACAAAAAAATTTTAAAAAAAAATTTTAAATAGCTGAGCATGGTGGCATATGACAGTAGTCCCAGCTAGTTGATAGAATGAGGTGGGAGGATCACTTGAGCCCTTGAAAGGTCAAGGCTGCAGTGAACCAAGATTGTGCCACTGAACTCCAGCCTGGGCAACAGAGAGAGGCCCTGTCTCAAAAAACTTAAAAAATAAAAATAAATAAGGCAGGGAAGGGAAAACAGGAATAAAAAATAGATGTTACAGGAAAAAACTAATTAAAAGTAAATCCAACCATAGATCCGTCAATTGTGGCAGGTATAGCGGCTCACACTTATAATCCCAGTACCTTGGGAGGCCAAAATGGGAGGATCACTTGAGCCCAGGAGTTTGAGACCAACCTGGGCAAGATGGTGAGACCTCATCTCTACAAACATTTTAAAAATAAGTTAGGCCAGGCATGGTGGCTCACACCTGTAATCCCAGCATTTTGGGAGGCCAAGGCAAGTGGATCACAAGGTCAGGAGTTCAAGACCAGCCTGGCCAACCTGGTGAAACCCTGTCTCTACAAATAAAAATAAAAATAAATAACCTGGACATGGTGACACATGCCAGTAATCCCTGCTACTTGGGAGGCTGGGATGGGAGGACTGCTTCAGCCCAGGAGTTCAAGGCTACAGTGAGTTCTGATCACACCACTACACTCCAGCCTGGATGACAGAGAGAGGCCCTGTCTCTATTTAAAAACAAACAAATATCAATCAATTTTATTTATAGACCAGGCGTTGTGGCTCATGCCTGTAATCCCAATACTTTGGTACGCCGAGGCAGGAGGATGACTCAAGCTCAGGAGTTTGAGACCAGCGTGAGCAAAATAGTGAGACCTCATCTCAATTACTTAAAAAAATCAAAATGAAATTTAAATACATATATAATTGTATTTCTATAAACTAGCAATAAACATGTGAAAACCAAAACAATTTTTTACAGACAAGATCTCACTACATTGTCCAGACCATTCTTGAACTCCTGGAATCAAGTAGTTCTCATCTTAGCCTCTGGAGTAGCTGGGACTACAGGTGCATGCCCTTCTTCATTTACAATCACTTCTTTAAAAAGACCATAAAATTGTTAGGGATAAATCTAATAAAACGAACAAGACTAGTGTACAAAAAACTACAAATCACCTATGAGGGAAATCTAAATAAATAAGATCTAAATAAAAGAAGTAATGCACCATGTTCATAGATTGGAAGGGTCAGCATAGTAAAATATCAATTTTCTGCAAAGTGATACAGATTTATCACAATTTCTGTCAAAATCCCAGTAAGATTTTTTGTAGATATAGACAAAATTGTTCTTTTTTTTTTTTTTTTTTTTTTTTTTGAGATGGAGTCTTGCTCTGTGTCCCAGGCTGGAGTGCAGTGACAAGATTTCAGCTCACTGCAACCTCCACCTCCTGAGTTTAAGAAATTCTCCTGCCTCAGCCTCCCAAGTAGCTGGGATTACAGGCGCACACCACCATACCCAGCTAGTTTGTGTATTTTTAGCAGAGACAGGGTTTCGTCATGTTGGCCAGACTAGCCTCAAACTCCTGACCTCAGGTGATCCACCCACCTCAGCCTCCCAAAGTGCTGGGATTACAGGCATGAGTCACCATCCCCAGCCTAAACAAGATTATTCTAAAATTAAATGAAAAATAAAGGTTTCAAATAACTAAAACTATTTTGAAAAACTACAGTGGGAGGAATTAGTCAGCTTCAGTAACCAAGACTGTGAAATATTCATGGAGAGATAAACATAGATTAATAGAACAGAGAACCCAGAAGTAGACTTATACTTCCCCCAAATTAAAAGCTTTTGCTCTGTCTGGGCAAGGTGGCTCACACCTGTAATCCCAGCACTTTGGGAGGCTAAGGAGGGTGGATCACTTGAGGTCAGGAGTTCAAGACCAGCCTGGCCAACATAGTGAAACCCTGTCTCTACTAAAGATACAAAAATTAGCTGGGCATGGTGGCACATGCCTGTAATCCCAGCTACTCGGGAGGCTGAGGCAGGAGAATCGCTTTAACCCAGGAGGTGGAGGCTGCAGTGAGCCAGGATCGCACCACTGCACTCCAGCCTGGGCGACAAAGCAAGACTCTGTCTCCAAATAAATAAATAAATAAATTTCTGGGGCCAGGCAGGGTGACTCACACCTGTAATCCCAGCACTTTGGGAAGCCAGAGTGAGACCGTTTGAAGCCAGCACTTTGAGATGAGCCTTGGCAGTGTAGTGAAACCCTGTCTCTACCAAAAAAATTAAAAGTACAAAAATTAGCCAGGCATGATGGCACATGCATGTAGTCCCAACCACTTATGAGGCTGAGGTGGGAGAATCTCTTGAGCCCAGGATTTCAAGGCTGCAGTGAGGTACAATTGTGCCACCGCACTACAGCCTGGGTGACAGAGCAAGACACTGTCTTAAAGAAAAGTATATTTTGTGGGCTATTTTTTTTTTAAGACTAGTCAAGTGCAGTAGTGAGAAGGGGGGAAAGAGTAGAACAAGGAGTTCGATCTGTAACTGCCTGTGAACAATTAATTGAGATAACTCGCCACCTTTGGACCAGCCTATTTTGTGGTTTTATACCATAAAAATACACAGCTACGGCCGGGCGCGGTGGCTCAAGCCTGTAATCCCAGCACTTTGGGAGGCTGAGGCGGGTGGATCACGAGGTCAAGAGATCAAGACCATCCTGGTCAACATGGTGAAACCCCGTCTCTAC